AGATATATATATACATATATATAAACACTAACTGAGCAAATATAATGCCTTGGGTTCACTCCAGGTACTGATCACAGAAATTAGGGAAAGGCAGAATTAAGTCAGAGTGAGATTAGAGATCTTGGAGGAAAGATAGATTTTTTAAGAATTGGTACCAATGGAACCCCAGATTGTCTCAAGATGGGAGTTAGAGAATTTACTATATTACAAATGTGTAGTGGACTTTGTTGTTTTAGATTGGGTGTTAAACTGAAGGTCTTGATCATATGCTATCATTAAAGATCCCTTGGCAGATGTACTACTTGTAAGAGGAGGCGGGTTTGTCAAAAGCTTCTGGATAAATTCCAGCTGTATAATTACCTCCTATCCGACTTCCCTCTACAGTTCCAACTGGATAAGGTATTTTTCCCTTCTAGTCTAAAATGCAGATATAGGTTTTTTTCTGCACTGGTAAACAGCTGCTGCATTTTTCACCCCCAGTGGTATTTAGTATTGGCCTCAGATGGGCTTTCATCAATTCTGGGAATAGTCAACTGCGCTTTCCAAGTTTAATAAGGGACCTTTTTAAACATTTGCTAATATTTACATTACTAGAAGTCTTACTGAATTGGGGTACACAGCAAATACAGAATTTTTTAGTGGAAAGGGACCTCAGGGATCATCTAGTTTTGCATTCTTCCTTTGGAGAAGAAAACTGAATTTTAGGCCAATTGCGTGGATTTAGAGATGCTGAATTAACAGATGGCCCAAAGTTACACAAAAATATAATGTCAGATCCAAAGCCTTTACCCGAGGACTCTGACCATTCTGTTGTGTTCTGTATGCATTTCCTGGTTATAGAGATGAGAGGAGTAGGCCGTATAAGAATGAACCATATAAGAGTACTAGAAATTTTATCAATTTGAATAATAAGTTTAGGAATAGGACTTAGATCATGTATTATAAAATATTCATATACACCGTTTTGAAAGGTTTTGCTAACAGAGAATACTAAAACAGCTTCTGGACCCACAGAGAATTACTACATGTTGGAATAAAAATTTATGAAATGCCAAAAAAAAAAAAAAGAAGCAGGGCTATACACTTGGAGACCAGTGATACCTTATGAAAAGAATATGGATGAAAGGTAAAGTATCAGACTTTTGAAATACCATATAATGGCTTCAAATCTTGTTGTTCATGAAATTTCTACCATGTATTTGATTCAATAATTTGAATTAAGATGTATGCTTGTAACCATATATCAAGCATAAGTTAAAAATGAAATCAGCATAGCTATTTTTAAAATAAAAATTTAAGTGACACCAGCAAAATGGATCAGAATGGACTATTTCTTCTTTTAAATCATATCTCACCATCAACTCAAGGCTGTATTTTCCTACATTAAGGAAAAGAAAAAAAAGTTGCTGTAGAACTGATCCCAACTCATAGCAACCCTATAGGACAAAGTAGAATTAGAACTGCTCCAAAGGGTTTCCAAGGCTATAATATACATTCCAGGAGTGGCTCATTTAGCAGCAGAATGTCTAATGACTGGCTTCATTAGGGTCTCTTATTTTCTTACACAGAACTTCAGAACTGAATGGTTAACCACTGGTGCCACCAGAGCACTTCAATGTCTTATACAGAATTCCAGAAGTGGGCTATCCTGGTGATAGACAAAAGTATTTCTGATTCATTGTAGAATTTGTGTTTTTATAAAAAAAAAAAAAAAAAAAAAATTACCTTCAGAAAATCATGCAAATGTTTCAGAACACCTATCCTAACTTCATCGAGGTCTTTTAAAAATCCATTAAAAATTGGAACTAGATCTGCAGCAGTCAGTTGATCTCCAAGAATAACTGCAAGCTCGTGGATGGAGAATGCTAAAGTTCTTCGAACTTTCCACTAGAAAAATAAAATTAATTATATTAGTAATCTAAACACAAAGTGCTTTTTACCTTTAGCCTATATATGAAGGTTAGTCAATATGTGAATGCCAATAACCTCAAAAATTAAATTATAATAGTAGTAATATTAGACACTGAATTTTAAATGTCTATGATGTCTCAAAAACTGTGGCAGAAGAGTTTTTAAGTATAAAGCATACAGTATGTATTATCTCACTTTCATTTCTGAAGGAAAAAAAAATGTTAGGCAATCACTAACAGCACAGTTTTTGTGATTCTCTGAACAATGAAATGCCACATTTACAGATGTTCTACATATACCAAAGGTTAGCTGGAGCCATCCTCACTTTCCTGCTCCCCCTTCAGATCCTGTACAGTCTACCTTGCATTCAGCAACAATAACCAGCTTGTTTTTAAGGAATTGGCAATTTAAGAAACACAGGAATAAGAAAATCTTTTGCTTACAACCCTGGAAAAATACTCCTAAATGGAAACATTTTGTGTATATAAATACTTAAAAGTTAAAAACATTTTTGCTTTTCTATATTGCCTGCATTTAAATTTTCTTACGTTGACATTTAGCATAAATATCAATGAGAGAGTTTAGAGCAAAAATTTCATTTCCACTGAATTACCAGAACTCAATCTTGAAATACAATTTTATGTTAAGTTCAATACACAAGACATGAAAACAGAGACGGGGGGCATGAGGCAGAGGAGGCATGTGGTCCCACTGAGCGCCTTCCTAGTGATGCAAGTGGCCCCAGATATCCAGGAACCCCTCAGAGCTCTCTGAAATAAAGACTGGTAACTACTAATAAAGGATAAAGCACTCTAGAAATTGGCCCTTTATGGTTCTGTTTTCAAATCACTTAATAACTATGCCAATGTGAGATGAGGTACTTAAACTGGGCTCCAGCTACCTAAAACTTCTTAAGTCAGAGGAGGAACTTACACTATGTGTTCTCGTAAGATTACTTTTAACTCCTGGCTTGTTAAGCCAAGGCACTGATTCCTTTAAGTTTGCACCACTAAGAAGTTTAATGCAAAATCAATCATTCATGCCTCAGTACAAGTCATTTTAACCAGACTGCATTCTTAGTGACTATGAGATTAAAAGATGGGTGTTCTCAGGAAGGATGCAAATTTCTAGAAAATAGGAGATACTAAACTTAATAGTAGAAGAGGTTAAGTTACCTAACAAAATCTAGGAACAGAGCCAAATAAAAGCCACAGGTTATCAAGACCAAGTTACCTATATGGACATTTTATATATTATTTTCCTTTGGAGTGGATGGGAAGGTAGGTGAGTATGAGGTCAGGGAAGAGAATGAACACTTCCAAACTTCTTCCACCTGTCTGGAAATGCTCATTACACTCATGGCCCCAAACTAATAATTCTGTAAAAGGATTTTAAAAATCTTCTGTGATCAGAGAAAAACAAAATATAATATGCTCACATAAGTAGTTTTTACCAGCCTATTTGGCTCTTTTCCTAGGTTATGTTGACCTAAACCTCTTTTATTAAGGCTATCTTCTCATATTTTCTAAAAATATGCCTCTTCCCAAAAAATACCTATTCTTTTAGTGTGATTAATCTCACAGTTACTAAGAAGGTAGTAAAAGTCTAATAAAAATAAGCATCTATACTACTGTGTCTAGTAGAAAAATTCAACCCTGTACTTTAAAGAATTAAGTTACAAATAAACTTTGGACAATAACATATATAAGTTAGTGACACGCTGAATGTGACTGTAAATTCTAACACTTTATATAAATAAAAAGTCAAACTGAGGAGATCTAACTGAAAATACAGTGGTGGGGTAAAGTAAGGTCATTTTAACTCTTCCTTACATAATTTTCGTTAACATTAAGTCCACACTGAACAGAAGGAACTTTAATTCCAGTAAGTTTTGGAAGGCAAAAACGCACTTAGGTTTGTAATCATGGCAATGAAATGATATAAGATAGAATGAATGTAAAACTAATGTTCTCCCATGTAAACTATCACATAATTCACAATAAAACATTAAAAAACAAACAAAAACGCACTTAATAAAAAATTGTTCCATATTCACATACTTGCTAATTCTTTCATTGGTTTATTTACCTGCATGTCTGATGCTAGGGTCTCATAAGTTTCTCTCAGGCAGTGCCAATTCTGCCGGCCCAGGGTGAGGGCCACACCAGGAAGGCTATATGCACAGTGCTTAGCAATTTCAGTGTCAACCGTCTGTGCACGAGATGGATCAGTCATAGATAAATATTGATCTAGTAAAGCCTGAGGTACAACATCCTAATGGACAGATGATAATAATGCATTTTTAGCAAGTTAGCTATAAATTAGTTAAAAATATTTTAAATTTAACACAGAATCTCAAATACTAGAGAAAAAATTATCTCACATTGTACATATAGATATATACACACACACATATATACATATATATTTAATTGTGCATAGGGTCACTATGAGTCGGTACCGACTTGATGGCACCTGACACATATATATAAATGCAAAGATAAATTTAAACTAAATGACCTTTTGTAATCTTTTGAATGTTCAGCTATATAAACTTATTACCCATCTTTTAGAAATTGTTGTTAATAAGTGCTGTTGAGTAGGTTCCAACTCACAGCAACCCTGTGTAGGGTTTTGGAAGAGTGGCTAATGGGTCTGAATGCTGACCTTGCAGTTAGCAGTCCACTGCTTAACCTATAGCTCCATATCAGGGCAGGTCTAAATTATTTAAAAATAAATAAAAATTGTACTAAATAAATTTGAAGAATGATACAGATCTAAATGTACTGACTTGGAAATATATCTACAATGTAAAGTAGGGAAAATCATGTTTAAAAATACTATGAACACTGATTCTATTTACAATACATGATACAAATAAACAAAAGTAAAAAGCATATACCACTTCACCTAGAGAACTTAGATATATTCTCACAAGAAAACAAAAGGCATATATAAATATGATGCATGCAGTACTGTTTTTACTAGAAGCATTGAAACATCATAAGTAAGCAATTATTTAAATGGCAGTGTCTCCTTATAATGGAATACTACAAGAGAATCCTGGTGTGGCACTGTAGGATAAGCACTTGACCACAAGGTTAGTTTGAACTGCAAAGTTGTTAGTTCAAATTCACCAGTTGCTCCTTGGAAATCCTATACAGGGTGTCTATGAGTTAGAAGAAACTCGATGGCACTTAACAATAACAGCAATGCTGGTATGAACAGTGTGAATATCCTTCTATGCTAAAATGGAAGGAGCTCCAAGGTATCTTTAAAAAAACAAAACAATAAAGACAAATTATTACATGGTTATATTCAATGATTCTCTGTGCATATTTTTGCACTTTTAAATTTACTGAAATTGGAATTCAATTTACAATAGATGATACAAAGGCCTTATTTTCATATTTTAATCTTGGAAATAGAACTGTAATGCAACTTAGGTATAATACCTAGGTGTGATAGCATGATTCTGTTTGCCTTTAGACGACAAAAAAGTGTACATATATACACAAGGTTAATGTTCAACCATTTCAAGAGGTACCATATGAACAAGAGCCAATGATACTCAGGGAGGAAGTCCAAAGTGCATTGAAAGAATTGGCAAAGAACAAGGCACCAGGAATTGATGGAATAAAAAATGAAATCTTTCAAGAAAGTGAGGCGGCACAGAAAGCACTCACTCATCTCTGCCAAGAAATTTGGAAGACAACTATCTAGCGGACTGATTGGAAGAGATCCATATTTGTGCCTGTTCCAAAGAGAGATGACCCAACAGAATGCGGAAATCATCGGACAATCTCTTTGATATCTCAAGCAAGCAAAGTTTTGCTCAAGGTAATACAGAAATGACTACAATCATACATTGACAGAGAACTTCCAGAGGTTCAAGCTGGATTCAGAAGAGGCCATGGAACAAGAGATATCATTGCTGATGTCCGATGGATCTTGGCTGAAAGCAGAAAATATCAGAAGGATGTTTACCTATGCTTTATTGACTACGCAAAGGCTTTCGATTGTGTGGATCATGACAAGCTATGGACAACATTGAGAAGTTTGAGTATTCCAGAACACTTAATTGTACTTCTAAGAAATCTGTACCTGGACCAAGAAGCAGTTGTTCAAACAGAGCATGGGAACACTGAATGTTTTAAAATTGGGAAAGGTGTGCAACAGGGTTGTGTTATTTCACCATACTTGTTCAATATGTATGCTAAGCAAATAATACGAGAATCTGGGTTCTATGAAGAAAAAACGTGGTGTCAGGATTGGAGGAAGACTCATTAACAACCTGTGATATGCAGATGGTACAACCTTGCTTGCTAAAAGTGAAGAGGACTTGAAACATCTACTGATGGAAGATCAAAGAGCACAGCCTACGGTATGGATTGTATCTCAATGTCAAGAAAACAAAAGTGTTTACCACTGGAACAATAAACAACATTCTTATTAACGGAGAAAAGATTGAAGTTTTCAAGGACTTCATTCTTCTTGGATCAACTATCAACTTTCGCAGAAGTAGCAGTCAAGAGATCAGACAACGTATTGCATTGGGCAAATCTGCTGCACAGGAACTTTTTAAAGTATTGAAGAGCAGAGATGTCAGCTTGAGGACTAAGGTGCACCTGACCCAAGCCATGGTATTTTCAAATAGCCTCATATGGATGTGAAAGCTGGACAGTGAATAAGGAAGATCGTAGAAGAATTGATGTCTTTGAGTTGTGGTGTTGGAGGAGAATACTGAAAGTGCCATAGACTGCCAAAAGAACCAATAGATCTGTTTTGGAAGAAGTACAGCCAGAGTGCTCCTTGGAGGCCAAGATGGCTAAGCTTCGTCTCTCATACTTTGGACATATTGTCAGGAGGGAACAGTCGCTGGAGAAGGATGTCATGCTGGGTAAGGTGGAGGGTCAGAGAAAAAGAGGAAGACCCCTAACGAGATGGACTGGCCAGGTGGCATCACTGATGGACTCAAGTGTGGCAGCGGTAGTGAGGTTGGCCCAGAATCGGATATTGTTTCATTCTGCTGTGCACGAGGTCGCTATGAGTCAGTTCCGACTGGATGGCACCTGACAACAACAATATACACAAAAAACTTCTAAAAAATACAGAACTGCTTACTCTGAATGTAGAATGGAATCCTATGTGTGGGAACGATCTGACTGTGGAGTGACAAATCTTTCATATGGCCTTTTTTGCCATGTAACTATTTTTTTTTAGTTTTTATTGTGATTTATGTGATAGTTTACATGGGAAGAACATTAGCTTTACATTCATCCTATTGTATATTGTTTCCTTGACTGATTACAATCCCCTCCATGCATCATCAAACATCCAAAGGCTACACTCCATAAGCCTGCCCCTCTCCCTCCCTGGGTCTAGAGTGCCCAGAGGCTCCATCTGTCCATGTCATCATCTCTGCCTCCATCTCTGGCATCCTGTTTCTCTGGGTAGGGTCCCACACTCTGCTCTTCTCCCTTGATGGTCCCAGGGACGTCCGCTACTGGACTACAAAGTCAATCACTTCCTTACTTTTGCTAAAAAACGTCTACCTTTACATTTTCAAGCTTCACCATCAGTCCTGATAGCAATTATTTACTATTATACCATAAGAGTCTTATCCCTATCTCCTTTCATCAGCCCCATCCAGATAAATTGGATACCACTGAGTGGAGATTCTATATTCCCCCACGCCCTCTGGATCTAGGCTCCCTCTTGAAAGCTTGTAAGCCAGTCACTTCTTGTCTTTGGAGCTCCTCCATTTTGTGTAGCCAATGCCTAAGTTGCCCATCCTTGTCTACCCTGTGTACCAAGGGGGTGGGAATGATCCTCGCTGTAAAGATTTGTTCCCTCTTTTGAGCTACTGCATCCATAGATATAGGTCAAGGTCATAAAATTGTATCAGAGTACTCTTTTTTTCCCCTTCTTTCTTCTTCTAGTTGAGTTCTGATCATCCAGCCACTGAAGCCATGTCAAATGAGTATTGTCTGCAAGTGTGGGTGTTCTTGTGCACCTCCCCTCACTTCTTGTCAGCTGGGTGCTTCACTCTCCACTCTAGTCCTCTGTGGCTATGTCACTGTCTCTGGGCCCAGGTGTGCCCAGGTCTTGCCATATTGCTGGCCAACCAAGTATCAACCAGGGACCAGGGTTCTGGTCTTATAACTCTTACCAAATTGTTGGATGGGTCTATACAAAGGGGTGCTTGTGATCCACCCTAGGAGACTGGAAAACTTGCTAATTATGCAAATATGGTGCATGGGGCCGTGGGGATGGGACCATGCAAATAAGGTATGTTGTTGTTGTTTGGTGTCTTCAAGTCAGTTCTAACAGAGACCCTGTATAGCGTTTCAGAGGGGCAGCTGGTGGGTTTGAACTGCCAACCTTGTGGTTGGCAGTCCCTTGCTTATCCTACAGTGCCACACTAGGAGTATGGAACCTTAATGAGGGGATTGGTCAGTATTGCCAATCTAGTCTTAAAAAGAGCCATCTCATGAGCAGAACGAGGAGACCTCAATATGACCAAGAAGAAGAGTTGGGATTAGCGCACATCCTTTGCATCTGGGATATCTATGGCAAGAACATCCTAGACCCAGGAGGCAGAGAGGTGTAATTCTAGAGTCTGTGAGATACAGCACAAAGCAGCAGTAGACAAACAGTGAAAGCAGAGGCAACAGAACTATGAGATTGCATGATGTGACAAATCTGAGTGCCTTTGGGCAGGAGGCTTGTTGGAGGAGTAGGGTGCTTATTAGTGCAGCTAGAGCTGTGTAACACTTGCCTGAGTAGGCGAGCCCAAGAGGCCCAAGGAATCAAAAGTTTGAGGGTCAGGGAGAGGCCTGCCTGTGGATATGGCCAAGAAGCTATACTGACTGAAGAATGGTATTCTGAGTCTTTTCTTATCCTGAATTGTAATAATTCAGGATAAGAACTATAGGAAGCAACCTGTTATTTCCCAATTAAACCTCATAACAGTCTGTGAATTCTGTATGGAATTCTGTATGGACATTAGAATGAATTACTGAATTTCGGCAAAGAAATCAAGAGTACAGTGGTGTGAAAAATGGGGAAAGAGTTGGAGAGAAGACCTCCGTTGTTTCATAGGAATCAGTCTCTGAATGCTGATCTTGATTCTTCTTTTCACCTTGATTCTCCTTCAACTCTTGCTTACATTTTATTTTCTACACTATTTGAATTTCCTTATAGAAAAATGTAATACACTACCTTTAATTTAAAACTTGTTACAAAAAGAGAACAGAATTAAGTAAGAAATGGATTTTAAAAAGGGGAATTAAAAACACACACAAAAATATTTTTTTATCACTTACTTGTACTTTAGATTTCCTTTCCTCATCAGGGCTAAAACTACTATTGGTGCTCAGGTCTGAATCATTATGAATATAGTGAAGACTAGAGTCCATATTCTGTTAGAATAAAAAAAAAAAAAAAAAAAATAGCTGCTTCAAGATTTGTCCTGTCCGGAGTTTCCTTTATTTAAATATATTATGTTACTTCATAGGTTCACACCATGACCATCACCATCATGTTACTTACCTATAAAAAAAAAAAAAAAAAATAGCTGCTTCAAGATTTGTCCTGTCCGGAGTTTCCTTTATTTAAATATATTATGTTACTTCATAGGTTCACACCATGACCATCACCATCATGTTACTTACCTTTAACAAGACTGTCAACAGATGTAAACTCACATAAATTCTGCACATCTTTGTAAGTTTATAAACATGTCTAAAACTTCTTAAGAGCTTCTCTTGCCTTAAATCAAACTTGCTGACTAAGGTTGCTAAACATATTTACAAAAATGGATTCCAGCAAAAACAAACTTAAAGTTTAAAAGTAATTTTGAAAAGGTCCAAATACCTAAAATTAACTTATTTCTAAAAGAGTATGTATAAGAGTATTTAATTGTTTTATTGTTGTTGTTAAGTGCAGTCGAGTCTTTTCTGACTCATGTTGTTGTTATGTGCCGTGGAGTCGGTTCCAACTCACAGAGACCCTGTACAGGGTTTCCGAGGCTGTAAATCTTTATTGGAGCAGAAAGCCTCCTCTTTCTCCCATGGAACAGCTGGTAGTTTCAAACTGCTGACCTTGCGGTTCGCAGCCCGATTTATAACCACTACGCTACCAGAGCTCATAGTGACCCTATGAGTTTCCAAGGAGTGGAAGGTGGGTTTGAACCACTGACGTTAGCAGTCCAGTGCCACACCAGGAATAAAGGCCGTAATAAAGCAAAGCAAACAATCCACTACTGCTGGGTCAATTCCAACTCATGGCTACCCTACAGGACAGAGTTGAATTGCTCCATTAAGGTTTGTGAGGCTGTAAATCTTAATGGAAGCAGACTGCCTTATCGTGCTCCCTCAGAGCTGCTGGGTGGCCTTAAATCGCCAACCTTTCAATTAGTAGCCCAATGCTAAATCTACTGTGTTACTACAAATCCTTTTTCTTAGTCTGATTCTAATTTTGACTGTAGTATCTAATTCCACAAATATTTTTTCTAATAACCACAGACAAAAACCTAACCAAACCAAACCAAAAGCCTTCTAAAGTATAGCTATATCATAATATTGAACTCCCCAATGATAATAAACGGTCAGGGTTTCATTCTAAAGCACTAATGTTATACAAAATTCAGTTATCCAAATGTCATGAAACAGCAAAAACCAAATAAATACACTAAAGCTAGAAAAGCCCTCTTGCCACCCACAACATGTGGGCAGGAATTCTTTCTTGAACATAACATTCAATATATTTTCATTGTTGTTGTGTGCCATTGAGTCAGTTCCAACTCATAGCAACCCTACATAGGGTTTCTGAGAGCAGCTGGTGGGTTTCAAATGCCTTGCTGTTAGCAGACTAGTGCTTATCCTATAGCACCATACCAGAGCCCATGCTCATTTGACTCTGGTGATTGGTGTGTTCCTTCTCCCATTTATGTAAATAAGGGATAAGAACATTGATATCAAATGATGCTGGAAACCGGAGGAGGATCATAAAGTACAGCCATAAGTACATATCAAAGATGATGCTAGCAACAGTACCCACCCTCACTCTCCAGAGTCCAGATAATGCCACTGGCCCTCCGCAACATGGCCTCAAGTCCCGATCTTCTGCTCAGAATACTGTGTTGCTTGCTGCAGTGAAATGGTCCGATCAGAAACAAAGCACCTCTCCAAAAAGAAAAGGGAAGAGTTAATAATTCTTGATAAAGGGCTTTGTTTCCAGTAAGACTATTTCACTGCAGTGAGCTACATTAACATTGAGGTTACTAAAATGGTCATGTTAATAAGCAGGATTGGGATTTACCTTTCCAAGGATTTCACAGGTCATGAAGACAGGATGTGGTGACAATTACTTTTACTTTATGCAAAAGGGAGAGCAGAAAAATCAGCAACTCACAGAATAGTACTAACTAGGAAGTGATTAGCTACAACTATAGCCCCAAAGCATTCTTCTGATTCACATTGCTCTCACTTGATTAACATTTTACTCAGTTTGTTACCTCGACAGCATCGCTGATTAAGGGCACAGAATCATCTTGCTTTATTTTAACATTTGGTAGCTCTTTTACACCCAGTTCATCTTGAAGATCATTTATTTTCTCTATACTGATGGTCTCTTCGTGAGCATCCAGACAAGAGGCGTGTAGTGCTGCAGACAACACTTCCACTTGTGCTAGGTAAATAAAAAAAAAAAAAAAAGAGAGAGAGAGAGAAAGATATACGTTCAGCTACAAAACTGTAATACTTTAATGTTTTTCCTCCATTTGCATTCCACATTGTCACTGACATGTATATTTTGACACTGCAATCAGAAGCTGAAAACAATTTTCTACTATGGAAAATCATTAATTCTTCAGGAGAAAAACAAAACTAATATACTTTCATAAGATTAATAATGTTTATTTTGTGTTAGTATAAAGAGTATAATGCTATCTAGTTTCTGGTGGCATCACCAGTTTATGAAAAGAATGGCATTTCAATACAAGTTAGCTATGTTTTGGTAGTATATGAATCAAATTAACAAGACTTACTTACTAAGCTATTTTAGAAGAAGAGCAGTTCATACAAATCCTGCTGACATAAAATAATGGCAATTACAAAGATTTTTGTTGCAAGTATATTTAAACATCTCAGATCTTCTTCTCTATTTTTTTTGAAAATTGTAACTGGTTCCCAAAAAGGAAACTGAATTAGCCCTGTCTTGCCCAGAACAAAACAAAAATGACAACTTATCAAGATGCAGTTCTTATATCTGGCAATCAACATTGCCTACACGTTTTGAGTTTTTGGTAAAGGTGATTCCAAAGTTAAGATAAAACTTTCTTCCTGACCCCAAATAAAAGAAATTTAGCAAAAAAAATTGCCAAGATACTCATAATGTAATAATCTTAGATTTCAAATTAATTTAGTACAAAGCTTAGTAAAAAAGAAAAAGCCAAACAGGATAATGACTTTATTAATATAATCTATTACCATGCTGCATCATTTAAAAATGCCTGCTGTCTAAGCACATTAAGTTTGTTTACATTTTCTGCAAAGAAGTAAAAGAAACATACAGGACAAGATTCCACTAAGCTTAAGAAAAGCGCTTGTGAAGTAAATCTCATTCTTTTTGAGAATTTCACTTGTGATTTGTACTAATCCTTTTAATCCCTTTTTGCTCCCTCTTTGGGGACCTTTAAGTTTCTAAAACCAAGGCACAGGAAGCACTCAAAGGAGACTGAGGTCTTTATAAAGGTCAGAATGTTTTGTTTTCAACATTTTCAAAATAATGTGCAAATGTGCTAGCCTTATTTACCTATTGTGTTGTTGTTAAGTGTCATTGAGTCAGTTCCAACTCATAGCAACCCTGTATTGGGTTTTCAAGGAGTGGTTGATGGGTTAGAACCAGCAACCTTATGGTTTTGTCAGTTCAGTGCTTTTCTTACAGCACCACACCAGGAGTCCCACATCAAATATTGGCTGGGTGTATGTGAAACCTAGTACTTTCCAATCTTCTTCCCTGGGAAATAATGAACAGATCAGTGTATTTCTTGAGGGTGATGCCTTATACAGTCATTTAAATCTAGGTGATTGTTGTACTCTCCTTTACTTGTGTCCATGCTAATAATGCCCATCTTTAAATGAGTGACACTATAAGCCCACCTTATTCAGAAAATTGATGTAAAGATAATAAAGAAGAGTCTAGTGCCAATTCATGAGGAAACCTGATGCTTAAAACTCTCCAGCCAAAAAGAATAGGGTATATTTTGTTTCTTGGTTAATGCAGAAAGTTTAGCATTCTAGAGAATACCACACCATGAGTAATATAAGAAATCAGAACACAGGTTTAGTCTGAAGAAAAATTTGCAACTCATTTACAATGTGGGTGGGAACCCAACTGATAAAAAGGAAAATGCTGCTGCTGCTATGTGCTATCGAGTCAGTTCTGTCCCACAGCAACTCTATATAGGATTTCCAAGGAGCAGCTGGTGAGCTTGAACCGCCAACCTTGCAGTTCAAACTGACCTTTGCGGTCCAGAGCATTAACCTATAGTGCTCCTTGGAGGGCAGAATGGCCAAACTTCATCTTTCATATTTCGGACATATTATCAGGAGGGACCAATTGCTGGAGAAGGATATCATGTTTGGTAAGATGGAGGGTCAGAGAAAAATAAGACGACCCCCAGCGAGATGGATTGGCAATATGACATCATCAATGGCCTCACGTGTGGCAACAACAAGGTTGGCCCAGGACTTGGCAGTGCTTTGTTCTGTTGTGCATAGGGTCGCTATGAGTCATCACTGACTCAATGGCACCTAACAACAACATATGTATGTATGAATATGTAAATGTATATAAATGACGTTTTGTGTCAGTATATGCCTTTCTGTCTCAGAAAATGGCTGATACAGCTTGGTTTAAAATTGTACTGTTAATTTATAGACTACAGTTGAGAGGTCTCCATATAAATACTGTGTTGTGATTTGATTCATTCTGTTTCAAATTCAGTTCTTTTACCTGTTACAGTTTAATTTGAATTTGTCATTTTTCTTCTGTCCATATGATGATTTTTCATATCTACTGCTTTGTTCTTTAATTTAGCAATACTTACTAAGTATCAGTAATTTTTCTAGGTACTGCTATACTACTACACAGCAATAAGGAGCTCTGGTACCATAGTGGTTACGAATCGGGCTGCTACCCTCAAAATTGGCAGTTCAAAACTACCAGCCGTTCCACGGGAGAAAGATGAAGCTTTCAGCTCCCGTAAAGATTTACAGCCTCGGAAACCCTGTGCAGGGCCACTATGAGTCAGAACCGACTCCACGGTACTTAACAACAACTATACAGCAATAGCAAATCAGATTTAAAAAAAAAACCAAAAAACCCAGCCTCAAGGATAAGCTACAAATGCCCTTGGCATTAAGTTCTACAGTAGGACAGAGGGCAGAAAAGGATTGTCAGGATTTGCTGCTTAGGCTACATAATTCTGTATTTTATTCAAATCTGATAGCAAAATTCTGTATTTTATTCAAATCTGATAGCATAATGAATCTCTATTAATTCACCTTGCCATGCCTTAATTTTCCATAGTGTTAAAGGGTGTTTTGAATTTTTAAAGGGAGTGTTTTTCATTTCTAATCCTGGCATGGTGGTGCAATAATTTTCTTTAAAATGCCATAAATTGTCTACCTTGTTCAAAGGCCGAACTTGATCCAGATTGAAACTAAGTTGTACAGGCAGTAACTGAAGTTATATTGCATGTGTAACTTTTTCTTGGTAGTTGGACAAGGATGTGGGGGTGACCGCTACAACTAGAGTTAGCACATTATCCTCCTAGAACACAACCATCAGGAGCACTCTGGCTGCACTTCTTCCAACACAGATCTGTTGGTTCTTATGGTAGCCCATGGCACTTTCAATATTCTCCTCCAAAACCATAACTCAAAAGTATCAATTCTTCTAAGGTCTTCCTTATTCACTGTCCAGCTTCTGCATGCATGTGAGGTTATTGAAAATACCATGGCTTGGGTCAGGAGCACCTTAGTTCTCAAGCTGACATCTTTGCCTAATACAATACGTCGTTTGATTTCTTGACTGCTCCTTCCATGAGTGTTGATAGTTGATCCAATAAGAATGAAGTCCTTGACATCTTCAATCTTTTCTTCATTGACAAGAATGTTTATTGGTCCAGTGGTGAGAATTTTTACCAAAGGCTGTGGTCTTTGATCTTCATCAGTTAGTATTTTAAGTCTTCTTCCCTTTCAGCAAGCAAGGTTGTATCATCTGTATATGGCAGGTTGTTAATGAGTCTTCCTCCAATCCTGATGACATGTTGTTCTTCTCTTTCCATATAACCCAGCTACTTGGATTATTTGCTCAGCATACAAGTTGAATAAGTATGGTGAAAGAATACAACCTTGTCACACACCTTTCTTAATTTTCAATCATTCAGTGTTCCCATGTTCTGCTGGAACAACTGCCTTTTGGATCATGTACAATTAAGTGTTTAGGAATACTCATACTTCACAATGTTGTCCATAGCTTGTCATGATTCACACAAGCGAAAGCCTCTGCGTAGTCAATAAAGCACAGGTAAAGATCTTTCTGGTATTCTCTGCTTTCAGCCAAGATCCATCGGACATCAGCGATGATTCCCCTCATTCCACATCCTTTTCTGAATTTGGCTTGAACCACTGGAAGTTCTCTATCAATGTATGCATGCAGCCATTTCTGTATTACCTTTAGTAAAACTTTATTCACATGGGATATCAAAGAGATTTTCTGATGATTTCCACATTCCATTGGGTCGCCTCTCTTTGGAATGGGCACAAATACGGATCTCTTCCAATCAGTCCGCCAGATAGCTGTCTTGCAAATTTCTTGGTAGAGATGAGTGAGTGCCTCCTGTGCTGCCTCACTTTCTTGAAAGATTTCAATTTTTATTCCATCAATTCCCAGTGCCCTGTTCTTTGTGCATTCCTTCAATGCACCTTGGACTTCTTCCTTCAGTATCATTGGCTCTTGATCATATGCTACCTCTTGAAATGGTTGAACATCAACCATTTCCTTTGGGTACAGTGACTCTGTGTATTCCTTTTGATGCTTCCTGCATCATTCATTAATTTGCCCAGAGAATCCTTCATAAACGAAAGTACAGACTTGAATTTTTTCTTCAGTTCCCCAGCTTGAGAAATGCTTAGCATGTTCTTCTTTTTGGTTTTCTTACTCCAGATCTTTGTACATTTTGTTGTAATATTTGACTTTGTCTTTTTGAGCTGACCTTTGAAATTTTCTGTTCAGCTCCTGTTCCTCCTCATTTCTTCATTTGCTTTAGCATCTCTACCCTGGTGAGCAAGTTTCAGTGTCTCTTCTGACATCTATTTTTATCTTTTCTTTCTTTTTGTCTTCTTAATGACTTTTTGCTTTCTTCATGTATGATGTTCTTCATGTCATCCCACAACTCTTCTTCTGGTCTTCGGTCTTTAATGTCTAATGTATCAAATCTGTTCTTCAGATGATCTCTAAATTCAGGAAGGATATATTCAAAGTCATATTTTGACTCTCATGGACTGGTTTTTAATTTTCTTCAGCTTCTGTTTGAATTTGCTTATGAACAATTGATGGTCTGTTTGTTCCACAGTCTGCCCTTGGCCTTGTTTTGACTGATGATATGGAAGTTTTCCATC